TGTTCCTATGAGATATGTATTTTTTTTTAAATCTCTAGCATGCCATCAGCTTCAGAAGAAACACTTTTTTTGGTCTACATGCCTGTGTCAGGATGAACGAACCGATTTATTTGGACCCAGATGGTAGGCCCCATTGTGGATGGCACTTGGATGGAGGAGCCCACATGGTAGATCTTGGGTTTTCATTCCTGTGGAATATAGTATAGATTTTCAAACTGTTGATCACTTCCATGGCCCTCTGACTGGAATTTCCCAGGATCCCCAGGAAAGTAGTGATGAGTAGAAAAAACTTTTAAGTTAAAATGATGAAAAGTTAGATGAAGCTTCTACTGAGAAAAGAAGCCCAAGGACCTTTACCTGAAGGAAACAGAATGGATGCTCTGAAAAATAACACTGACTCTTCCTAATTTTCCTACCTGCCTTAGTGCTGATAAGTGATTCAATGCTGTGGATAGTACAGAGCTCTGGGTAGAAAAATATATAATTCTCTGAGTACTTCTAAACTAGTCAAGTTTCATTCCTTCTAGCTTGCTTTATGAAGAGAATGGAACTATAAGTAGGCAAAAGAGCCAAGTTACTATTCTAGAAGTGGACCCACAAAAGACTGATGACATAGCACAAGACCCCAGGCATCCTCCAGACTCTCTGTACCATGTTATCACCCAAAAGCTAGTTGTGTGATATCTTGGAAGCCATCAGAAAGTTACTTTGATTGCCACCAGCTGTGGGTACTGAGGATGACAATGATAATTAAAACTAGTAACCGGAAGATGACACAATACTTGCATCAGAGGCTACTGTTGTTCATTTATGCTGAGAGCCAAAACCTAAGTAAACCAGCCTCTTCCCTTCTCCTGAATAATGGAGGTAGCAGCACTGGTTGTAGCTCCAACACCATTCAAGATTCACTCTCCAAGTGTGGACTATATAGAATAAGATTCAGACTATCAGATAGAAGGTACAGGAAAGCACAGAGTAACTCCAAACTGACAGAACAATTAATGATGCTAAAGAATAGAATATTGGGGCTAGGGTTGTGGCTCAGTGTTGCAGCTCTTGCCTAGCACATGTGAGGCACTGAGTTCAATCCTTAGCACCACATAAAATAAATCAATTAAATAAAGGTATTTATTGTCCATATACAACTAAAAAAAGAATAGAATATTGCCAGCAACCCATCAGACAAGGGCTTTAGGGTTATCTGTTGTGGATGTTCTATATGTCTCCGGTAGGTGGCTACGTGACAGTGATATAGTGAAGTAGGTAGCACTTGCTCTTAAGTCCACCCTGCCACAACCAAGGGCTTCATTACCATAGAACCTGCTAAAACAGTGTTTCAAACCTTCTATTTTTCCTTATTCGAAATTACCTAAGTGTTCTTCTGTGTAAATTGGCAGATTTTATGGAATAGTCTTATAACGATCAGAACTCACATGGAACCTGTCGCATCATAGTGTTCTGGAATATTACAGGGGCCAAGAGACTTTTTTAAGCTTGAGGCATGGAGAATCGGAGAAAGAGAAGATCCAGGCATGCTGCGTCCTCAATTCTCTTATGGTTCTCATCTGCTCCAAATTTTGTTATTGGAGCTTTTATAACATTATCTCCTTGGGGCAAGAACTTGGTGTTTTGGACACAGTTTTATGTACTATTCTACTTCTTATATTGTAGTAATTATAATTCATAGTAATAACAAAAACAGAGCCTATTCACATAAAAACAACAATTGTAAACCACTAGACCCTGAATAAATATCTGGAATCAGTAAGGAGGTCTACATGTTCTGTTTTTGCCTAACTGAAAAGGTGAAGGACAGTGGTTTTGTTTTTTAGATGACACACAGAGACATACATTTATATGAACATGCTTTTTCACATTTTGGGGTGTACAGTATGTGTTGAATTTGTCTATGGAATTATAACTTCATGAAAAGAGATTACCATTTTCTGCTGAGATGACCTTCACTGCAATGGGTGTGAATAGTGATGCTATAATAATTAAGTCCAAAATCTTTTATAATCCTACACTTTCCCTAGAGTAATGTTCAGCATTAGCCAAGGATGAAAATGCAAACAAGTACATGTATACTCAATAATAAAGCTTAATAGGTCAGGGAAGGAGCAGAACAAAATGAATGCCTAACACCTCCAGAGATAACTAGGCATTTTTGTCTTCTTAGTTAACTTCCTTGACTTGTGTTTACTAGGATCTGAATATATGCATTAAATTGTCCTTTATTAACCAAATACATAGCAAGCTGTTGCATGGAAAACAGTTGGTGGTTTAATGTCTAATACATTCTGGATTGGATACTGATTTTCAGAATTGTATGTTGGAGGACATTTCATTTACATGTTAAAATGACATAAAGTTGCTTGGAGAGTAAAATAACTGTTGAGTTTTGAGTTCAGGCCTCTGTGCTCTGGCTTTGGATGTCTCATGCTATCTGAGGGGAGTAACCTATAAATCCAGCCTTGAGATTCCATTAGATATTTCCTGAGTCATCATGGCTTACCTTCAGATTACTCAGCAAATTAAAATGAGGAGCAAAGGTGCACTAAGATTTCCCCTTGTCATTATTTGTTAATAGTATTAATGATGTCCATTATTTTTCAAACTAAGATATCTTTCCAAACTACTAATAGTCTGCATTAATTTTGTCCTTTCATAAAGCATTTTCACATGCATTAGTTCTTGCTGTACTCACCTCTGCCCTCCCATTGAACAGATAAAGCTCAGAGCTGATAAATAATTTGTCCAAGAAATCAGAGCTTATGATTAGCCTGCCGTTACTCCACATTAATGTGGTTTGTTGGGAAATAAATAATATGGTTTTTGTTGCTGCTGCTGTTGTTTCCATTTGATATGCAATCCTAAAAGTTGTAACCTCTAAGAGAACATTTGGCAATCTTTAGTTCTGGCTCAAGATGATCTAGGTTCTATGTTTGCCTCCATGATTTCTAGCTGTGCAGTCATGAGCAAGTTCTGTATCCCCTCCAAGTCTCAGAGTCCCCATTTGGAAAGTGGGGATAGGGTCAGTGCCAGAACTAAATTCTGTACTGTGCTGCTGATCAAATACTTAACACTTTCTCTCATTCAGAAAATGGATCTACTAAATGCAGGAATCATTTATCAATTATTTCACTGAACACTTAGATATAAATAAGAAGACATTCCCCACATGTAATGAGATACACACACACACACACACACACACACACACAGAGAGAGAGAGAGTAAAGCCTTTTATAAAGACAAGCACAGGAAGTTTATGTTTTAGTTCTATAGCTTATAAGAATGATACTCCTCATTTTCTACAACGTGTTGTAAAGAACTATTTGTTCAGAGTCATAAGTCTGCAATTTCAAAAGAAATACCAAGACACATTTTTTCTCCTTCTCTAAGATCTTCAAAACATCCATTAGTCTCTTGAAGGACAGTCATAAATCCTGAAAATTTAGTTTATCTGAAACCAACTCTAACAGTTGTCCTTCCCACCAATCATCCTTTATATCAGTCTTTAGTTTTCAGACCTCAGTGAACACATCCTGGTGTTCTGTGGATCAGCCTGAAAGTGAGGGAGCTGTGATTTCTTTGGAGAATTATTGGATATTCACTCTGACCTGAATCTTTTTCTAACACTTGAACTTGAACTTTAAATAACATGTATTTATTTATCAAATTAGAAGCTACATTTTCCTTTCTAGTTTCCCTTTCCTGGATAAAGTACACAGATAAGAATCAAGAAATGGGAATTTTAGGACTAGCTGTAGCACTAACTGTGTGATCTTGAGCAAAAGCTGTTCATCACTCTAAAACTTTTCTTCCTTGTCTATCATTTCTGGAAAGATGCTGTAAAGAAGACAAAGTTGAATACATTGTGCCCAAAACCCATATGGGAATAAGAGTCTGATGGGGGAGAGAGACACAATAGGAAACAGTGCTGTGACCCAGCTAGAGATGGGGATTATCAGATTCAAAAGCTTTTGTGGAGGAAGTAGAAACTGATTGAGCTATGTGTGTGGTGGTGGGGTGAGTGAATAGGATTTCAATAGTTGAGGGATATGGGAATTGATCCAGAAAAGGTTGAGGAGATCCTTACTTGAAGCCTGTCATGAGGTCTAAAGTTATATTTTATAAATTTAAATATGAACACCAATAGGTCTGAAAACCTGTATACTTGAAATTTTAAGATAATAAGCTGGAACTCAAACTTGGAGATAGTGGGGATGCATGGCACTGAAATTGATACCCCTGTCAAAACAAAAGGCTTTTCATGCCCAGTAAACAATTTTGAAAGTGCTAGTTCATCACGAAAATCCAGATCACTCATATTTTTCAGGTACCATGCTTTAGGAGAGAAAGATTTCTTACCCACATTATGGACTTACACCTCTTGGATCAAATTTTACAGGAAGAGACAAGTCATATATCAAAAGGTTAATGACTAGCCATTTCTCTCCCAGCTCTTTTGTGGCCACTGAGCTGCCCAGCAGCAGAGAGCACTGAAAAGCAGTGCAAGTTCACTAGTCCTTTCGCCTCTGTCATCCAGAGAGCCCCAGCAAGCTTCATTCTTCAAGAATAGTGACATGGTAACAGCCTGTTCCCTGTCACTATTCTTGCCTGGGAGACTCAGAGCCCTTTATCCTGTAAGAGATCCAATGCCATGCCCTGCTTACATATACAGTGATTGATTAGTATATTTATTGCACTTTTAGTAGTCAAATATATGGACTCCAGTCATCTCTGGAGATGCTGAAATTGTCTTTTCCCCCTTGATTTAGGGGAAGGTAGAGAGGGAAGATGTATGCAGAGTATGGCATAAATATAAGACCTCAAACATCTAATTAGCTGAAAGAATCTTGGTTCCCTCAATACCTTTGACAGAATTGCAGCTGTCAGATTGTAGCTCCAATATTTTATCCTCATTGCAAGATGTATCTGAGGATGATTTAGAAAAGATACTTTCTAATGTGAATACTACTCTGATTTCTTTGCAGGATGCTTGAGGATGACCTGAAGCTGAGCAGTGATGAAGATGACCTTGAGCCTGTGAAGACCTTGACTACTCAGTGCACAGCCACTGAACTCTACCAGGTAGGAGGAGCTTATGGCTTGGTTTTGGGCCTGAGGGTAGGTAGCAAATGGAACTGGTATTATTTTGAAGAGAACAAGTGTGTTTCCTGCATCATTTCTGGGCTTTGAAGAGAGAGGAAAAAAGCAATGATGGGTATAGTGTTTCTAGAACAGGTTGAGTCTGCTTCCGGTTACATGAAAGCAACAGTAGGAGACACAAAGAATTTTAAAATTGCTTTCACCCCCTCCCATCTCTCTCTACTTTCCACATACAAACACTGACCTTCAATAAGCAATAGAGATTGTCTTGTCCCTCTCTCGAACTACTTATTGTCTTGGGTAAGGTATATATTAGTTTTGTGACTCCACTGTGAGTCTTGGAGCTCATGCTCATTAATTTAGGTACAAGTGTGACTGCTTCATTCACCTCTCTCAGATACACCACCTCAGAATGCAGCTGTGAATTAATACCCCACACTTGCAACTTACATGAACTTTCAGGCAAAGGCGTTTGGCAAAAACTTGCTGCTGCCCTTATCTTATTCCATTCTGCATTATAAGTATTTCCAGCACGTTCCCACCAAATGAGATGGCAGGATAGTGAGTTTTCAGAATTTTCAAAAAGACTGGACTTCTTGATTTGAAAAGGCCAAGTAACATCTGTGGCTCATCAGAACAGTGATGCTATGTGATATCAATGGCGCCTATACAATTTTTGTGAACAAGATCTGTTATGAACATGGGATCCTTCTGGTGTGCTTATATACTCAAATAAAGAATAAAAGAGGATTGACTGAATTTTGATAGTTAAAAAATTTCATCTTGAAGGTAGTTTGGTGTTTTGTCAAGAACAAGCACAGGGTAAATGCAGACTACACTGTGCTGGTCTAAGCCAATTTCACGTGTTTCCTAGCAATGTGTTTGTTGTACATTGAATGCAGATAGCCCCCCCTCCTTCTTGAGTTGTGCACTTCAAAGCAAATGTAAAATGCACACTTAATTTCTAATGTCCATCATTTCCGCTTTCTGCATTTAAAACACCACTTACAAGAGCATCATATTTGTAAATAAAGCAAAAACAAAACAAAAATTCTAGATCATTGATTTTAACAGATGCAATGTTATTTTCTAATAAAAATGCTTAAAGCAGAATTTGACAATAAGTGAAAGTAGGTTTTGCACAAATTGACTTTCTTTCCATGTGATTATATAAATACAATCTAATTTTTACTCATAGAGTTATTTTCTTAAGAGGTGGCATCAAACCTTCAGTCTGAATCATCTGGGTTTTCAATCCTATGCTGATGGTTTATAACCACTGAAAGTCTCAGATAATCAGGGTTCAGTTGGAAACTTTCCATGATATGCTGAACTCATACCAGCTATGTTGTCCTTAGTAAGGCTTGGATTGTCACAATTAGATTGGGAGGTTGAACTGGAGGACCCATGGTAAGCAAAAGTACAACCTATTCCACCAACTAAGTCCAGAAAGCAAGAAATGGGCATAAGACTATAATTGTCGGAGACCAGCTCCAACAGGGGGTCTCAGGAGATGAACAGATGGTGAGGAGTCGGCAAAAGAGGGGTGGAGAAACAACACAGACACCAAAGTGAAGGTGTTGATCCCAATCTTTACTTGTGAAGTTGATCATATATACTTTTCATTTTGGCAGGCTCACAGTACTTTGTGGTTACAAAACAGGAATCATTATTCAAAGAAAAAAAAGATACGTAGCTACAATTAGAACAGAAGAATGTATCTTGGCTTATGCATAAGCAAGCATTTGTACTTTCAGTTCATGTTTTGCATTGAGCTGTTTCTGCTTAGTTAACTTTTAATAATAGTTACAAATGTCCCAAACTATTGGCCTATACCCTGACTATTCTTTCTTGACTTACTGACTGGAACCGGTGCCATGGTTACGGCAAG